GTGGGGAAAAAAACGCGCCTGATTTAAATGTCACACCTGAACGCTCACATCCTTTTAATTATGTTTGAAATTATGAACATTGCTCAACATCATGAAAATTAAACCTTATTTTCAATAAGCAATCCTGAAAAATATTTGTGGGTGCTTAACTTTTTTCCAGGTGCATATAATGGTACTAAAGGTGTATGTAGTTGACTATTTAAGTCTATAATCATTGTTGTTTAAATTGACATTAGTTATAGTCTTTGTACTTTCCATTATAGTGATTATTTTTACAAGACTTCTGTACATTACACAAGTTTTTTTAGAGTATAGAAATTTACTGTGAAGTAATTTCAGTAAGCTTAGAAATGCTGTGTTAAGAATTCACTGTCTTTATGCAGTTGATTTATTGTAAAAAGAATTGAACTAAAACACTTCTCGGGTCATAGTTTTCAGCCATATATTTCATCTAATTGAAATATTACATTTATAGATATGTAACTCAATATCGATGGCTTGAGGAAAATTGTAATTAAACATTATATTTCTTTTTGTCTTTTCCTCTCAGATACAACTACAATTACTGTGTATTTCTAGACTTTTTATTATTCTGTATTCTGCTACTTGTTGCTTGTGTTTATAAGGTACATATTCGTTATTCCTTCACAGGAGGGCCCTTCAGACGAGTTCTGATTGGTTCTGGAAATGAAGTCCATCCTGAAGAGATTGATGTAACTTTTGATGATGTAAAAGGGGTAAGTATTAAAACTCAGTTGTTTCTTAAACAGAAATAAATTGTTTGTATTGTATAATCTGTATTCATGATGAGGTGTAAGGGATTGGTGTAGTACTTATGCTACCAATTTAGTATTTCATACTATTCAACACTTAAACTGTTTAAAAGAATGTGTCATTTATAATTTTGTTTCATAATTGTTCTTGTAAATTTATTAAAAAACAAAAACAAGTAAAAACTTATACTGTTCTTAAATTTGTAGCATGTTATGTAATTAGGGTTATAGCTATGATAGGTGGGACTGCCCATTACTCATTCTGCCTGCCTAGGACTCCCATGCAATGTCACTAATGCCACTCTGCACTAAATATCTCTGAGAAATAGCGGCAGCTACAGGCGCGTGCACATGTGGGCTAGACTAGTTTTTATCAGCCACCACTCAAATCATCCTAGCTACAACCCTGTCTATATTAGACTGGTCTCTGGGAAATCCATCCATTATATATTATAAAAACTTGATAACAATTTAACACTAATGCCATAACAGTTGTTGATACTGACATTATAATAAACATAAACTTTTATCAAGCTTGTAATATAATTAAACACAAATTATATTACAAGCTTGATAAAACTATTATTATAATGTCAGTATCAACAACTGTTATGGAATTAATGTTAAATTGTTATCAAGCTTGCTATATAATAACTATCGATAACTGTTGACAAGACCAAATTTCTACTAGTGGTGAATTGGATTTTTTTACCAGTTTGACCTTGCCACGGGCAGGTCATGACTCCTTAGAGAGTTACTTTCAAAATTTAATTAAGCTATTTTATTTTCATAGTATACAAATAAACTGAACATCAAACATAGCTAATAAATTTTAATGTTATATAAGTTTTAAGGTCTTAATTTTATGATGAAACATTTAAAGAAATCCTCATTCTCCCCTAGTATGAGAATTGACATTCTCTCTCTAGGTTTTCTCCGTTCTCTAATTTATTTACCACACCCTGGAAAGTACATAATTTAATTTAAATCACTCATAATAATGATATATATATATATTACTCAGGGGAAACATAATTTGTATAGCCTTAAATCTTATATGTTGTCTACAAAACCATAAACTAGAAAATCACACCCACTTGCCAGGCCCACCTATCACATCCTCTTTTTCACAAATTGCCAGTAGTTCTCTTTAATGTTTAATACTATATTTTTTTATAACCAATAGAAAACCAAAGTTTTAATCTATCAAATGACATATTATACAATCCTGTTTCAGGCCAGGAAATTCATCATTTTTAGAGCAAGGCCATTAGGCCTTGGATTTTCTCTCATTTTCAAGGGCACTAGAGCCAAAAAAAATTCACTGGAGGATGCTAAGGCCACAGTGCACATTAATGTTAACAGAACAAAAATGATTGTATAGAGTTGTTTAAACATTTGTTTAACAACAAGTAAAAGCTTGGAATGGTCTGTTGTGTCATTGGGGGTGTGTCTGTGAGCCAGATTAGTTTCAGAGAATTCCACTCCTCATCATTGACCCTGAACACTACCACCAATGAAATATCAGACCAAACCAAGCCTTTCTCAATTAGTTTAGTGAATATGGCATTAATTGTTTTCACTCGGGGCTTAGGAAGCTGGCCTATTCTTCCAGATTATGTTTATCGTGTAGATAATTATTTACATTAACAAATGAGACTTACGAAGTAACAGTACACCAGCTTTAAGATTAAAAAAAGAGGTATCATGCTGATCTAAAATGGTCTGTTACCTTAATAAGATTCCTAATTTGTGCCCCTTCCTGACTCCAAATGACATTTGAGCTTACAATGTATACAACTGCTATGCACCTCTCTCCATTTATTACTTTGTCTAACTTTGAGAACGATCAGACAAAATCGCTAGGAGGAGAAGTTTAAAGGCCTAATTTCTACCAACAAAATTCTACCCGAACATGTCTGGCTACTTGACCAAATTGACAAAAATCAGTTACATGGTCTTTTTATTTTTAGTTTTACAACAATTTTCAATGGAGCTAGGGGTTGGAAGAGGGTAAACAAATAAAAATAAAATTGCACCATCAGTTACTAGAGTGCGTGTAATTGCTAGTTGTATTGCACAATTAGGGTGTCCATGGATTTTAGTGATTTTCTGAGGGCACTGCGGCTGTTTTAAGAAAATACAGCTGCTATTGCCGCCGTGAATTTCCTGCCCTGGTATTTTATGTAGAGAGAATTGTCTATTTTTCTTTCAGTTCAAACTTTAGTTCCATGCATAGTTAGAAAGTCAGAAAAGTAATCGTGTGTTTTTAGGTGCAATATTTTATCAAATAAAAATTATTTAGTGCTGTAGTAATATTAGAATAAAAAGTAAGGTTAAGTTTCATCAACAGTTCACAGAAAAAAAGATGACCCAGGTAAGTATTATATTTCTTGTTTTTCATGTGTATTCTTTGTTTATTATTATAAAAGTAACTAAAATATAAAAATTAGAAACTTTTAGGTTAGTTAAGGTTAAATATAGATAAAGAAATAATAATAATAATAAAAAATTTTTAGGAGGTATGATCAATAGTAGCCCATGCATTATGTAATTTGATAGGGTAACGTGAGCTACACATTTGCTGAGTGTTTTACAACTTGTATGGCAGGATTATTAGTTAAAAGAGAAATAAAACGATAAAATTAAAGTATAAACAGATGTATACCATTACGAGCTTTAAGCTATTCAGGAGAAACAAATGTAGTTTTCTCTACAATTAGAAGTCATTCTAGAAGGAAAAAAAGGTAATTTAGATTTAAGTAATTTAAAATGACACTTGTGTAAAACATCTATTTACAATTAAAAGGAATAAAACATTAAATTCATTACACAATAAATAGTTATAAAAACAGGGACTTGCCCTAAAAAGACTCTGCATATGTTTCGGTTTCCCATGACACAATTTCAGTAGTATCGGTAAAGACATGCCATCTAGGCTTAAACTACCCAAAGTTATATAAATTGTCCAAACGTGTAGAAATTCATAATTCAGGATCAAGGAACACAAAAATGAGGTTGAAATGAATCAGTATTAGGAGAACATGTGGCAGACTGGAGTAAAACCTGGAGTTTATAAAAAAGATAGAATTTAAAATTGAATTAAATATCAGAAAACTATTGAAATAATAAAACAAAGATATCTATTAAACAAGGGAACTGGTCCAGGTCTAGAAATAATAAAGTACTGGACAGATGATTTGTAACTTTGGGTAGTTTAAGCCTATATGGCATTATAGGAATGTAAATGATTATGTGGGTATACAAGTCCCAACCCTTCTTTTGCAATTACCCCTGAAGATAGTGTCATAGGGAAGTCCTTGTTTTTAATAACTATTTATTGTGTAATGATTTTAATGTTCTGTTGCTTTTAATTGTAAATAATTTAGATTTAGTTCAACTTTTTTTGGTGGTTACAAGGTCAGTCAATTTGACCAACCTTGTATAGAGATAGGATAGAGAGAATAAGAGGTAAAATATAAATTTTTGAAGAAAAAAATGTTTGAAATTTACTTAGAAGGTTTTGGAGAGTATGCAAAGGAAATTTGACAATTCTCAGCTGAAGGAAAGTATTTTTGATCTTAAACATGAAAATCACTTTGCACTCAAAGCAGTCAACATTTTCACTTTATATATTCAAGTTTTTAGTGAAAATACTTAATCAAAAATTATGATTTTTTTTGTCTACAAAAGACTTGTAATGCATACTGAAAGCTTGCAAAATTTCATGAAGATACTCAAAACATATTAGAAATTATAATATGGAAACTCTAAATGTCAATTTGGGGCTATAAACTTGGGCAACTTGAATGAGTCCATAGTGATTGAGTTAAGGAAATATAGGTTCACTGTAGTAAGTAAAAGACAACTCGGGTATCACATGTTATATTTATGGTGTTTGAACTCATCATAGATAACTTATTTTCATTTTAATATTTGGAGAATCTGTATCATTAGTGCTACTAATTTAATCTTGTATACCAGGGATTCTCAAACTGTGGTTTAAGTAACACTGGAGGTACATGAAATTAATGTTGATGATACATGAAAGTATAAAATTTGTGATATGTACAGTTTGAATTTCCCATGACATACTCACAGTACTCTCACCACCTATATAAACCTTCCCTCTGCCTGCATTGACTCACCTGTGTTTCTTCATTCACCTACTTCAGAGTTTTCAGAATGTCCATTTAACAGTCTTGGTTGAAAGTTAGAGAACAGCAAATGATTATCTGACTCTTCTTTATATTTTTAATGCCTTTTACAACTTTACGATTGTGAAAAGCTGCAGCCGGAGCTTTGGTGTCATTGAAAAATAAATATAGATTAAAGCTGAATATTGAACCCAACCTTCATTGAAATTGACAAAAATCACACCAGATAATCTTAAGTTGTGCCCCCCCAAAAAAATTACATTCTTTTCATGAATGGGTAGTGTTTTGCTACTAATTTATTGTTATTTTTGAAATTGGCCCGGTGGTACCTAAAAAAAGTTAACAAAAAATGCTATGCAATCTTGAAATGTTTCAGAACCACTGTTCCTTCCCATTCAGCAGACTAGAAGTTTTGTTTTCTCATCACAGAAATTGGCCGTAAGTCTTGCTGTGTCTAGTTGCATTCGGTGCAGATATTTTCTTGCCCTCGGGTATGGTTGCTCTATGAATATTAATCATACAAAAACAATTGTAAAATGAGAGCATAATTTGGAGAGATGTTTTATCGTTATTGAAAAGCTTACTTTTAATTATTAATATATCTAAATATGCATCAGTTGGTTTTGTACACAGATGATACATGAAGTAGGAAAATATATTTCCCAGCTGGCTCTCTTAAAGTTGATGTAATTAACTTAGACACATTAAGAACTGGACAAATGTACCTGTGATGTTTAGATAATAATAGGTTTAAGAATGGAAAGAATCATTACACAGGCTGTTATACTATAAATAGACATATTAAGT